TATATATATATATATATATATATATTGGGATACTACGCAAGTATACATATCGTTATCAAGTAATATATGACTTTTTGATTAAGATCCTAATATCGAACTCACAGAAATTTCACAATATGCACTGTTAAACAATAAACATTCTATTTTAAAAAGACAATTACTTAAATTATTGATATTTTCACAGTAGGTAAAATTCAACTCTTTTTGGTATTTTTGATATTTTGACAAAACAATAAAAACTTCTAAAGATAACTTGAGTTTATGTAAAAAAAATCACTTAATATGGAATATATTTCTCATTATCATAAATTAATAATAAGTATAAAAATTCTGTTGTAGAAGTATTCAAATTGTTTTGTGCCAAATATGGGCAATATTATTTTTTACCCTTACTATAGATGTTATAAAGAACATTGACTAATTTAAAGTTTAAATAGTTCTGAAGATCGGGTAGACAAGGAAGATATCAGCTCTCACTTTAGAGTTCCCTCAATTCCCTCCACCTGGGGGCTAACATCTCGTATCAGAAACAAAAATAATAAACCAAGTTGAGGGCTTTAACTTGTCACTCTAAAGTCCTCTAACTCTACACCTTTCAAAGATTATTTCTCTATTTATTTGCACTTAATCCTATGAATTACATTCTCATTCATACAACCTCATGTGATTCTTTCAAATTGTTGACTGAGACAATACCAGCCCAGTTCTTACATGTTCTCATAACAAATTTTAACATCGAGATAGGTCAGATCAAGAGTAAATGAAGTATATGGAATTAAATCATCACAACATCTTCTACCATTAAAGACTAATACTCTCCACAACTTCCATCCAACACTTAAATTACTTATCATTTTAAAGAGAAAAAAAAAAAAAACTACTCAGAATCCATGGAGAAAACAAAACCATGTTTTAGTTTAAAAGTAGAAATCATTGTCAAACCAACAAGAAATCTCGATTAAAACCAAAAGTAGTTTAAAAATAAAGATAAAACTTATTTCAAATCCTCCATCAAACTCTTGAAATTCCTTGAAACCTCTTCTCTTTTACAACACTCGTAACTCTCATAATAAAACTAAAAATAAAAACGATAGAGAAAATTTGTGGTGTTTGAAAATCTCTCCAAAAGATCTTCTCAAGGCTCCCCTTTTCCAACACTTCTCAGAACTCCCCCTTTTCAAGCACACTTATAAAAGTCTCAACTTTCTTCTTTTATAAATTTCTAAGAGTTGTCATGGTAACTCTTCAAAATGTGTCAAAATTCGATGTATTCTCCAAAGGATGCCTCCTTTCACAAGTCTTTTAATCATATTTTTGTTTCTAGTGGTCATAACCACCCTCTTTAGCTAATAGGTGCCTCAAATTTCCTTGAAAATTCAACAAAATGATTTAAACTGTCAAATAACTGCCTCTAACGTTTAAATGCGGGGCCTATGGCGCTTAGGCGTGGCCTTCTCTGTTTCACCGACGCTTAGGCGTCAAAACTCTTTTGCACCATTTTTACATTTTTGCTCCAAATTTAATCATTTTTCACTCCTTTTAGCATTTTTCACCTTTTTACTTGTATCTGAAAGAAAAACACACAAATATCTTCCATTAAAGTGCAATATTTCAAAAATAGGTATAAAAAAGTGTCTAAAAATACTTTATATTTTAAGTGAATCATAACTGTCTCCTCATCAAAACTTATGTTTAATTAATATGCTTTTCAAATTTCTAATGCTTAGCTACCTTGTATTCTTAAAGACATTCAAATCTACCGTTAGTTCATGTTTTTATTTTTTTATCAATGAGCCCCTTGTTCTATTTCTCTTAGGTGCTCCACTGAATCTAGCTCTACCTTCTGAAACGTCTTATTTTTATCTAGATTCTTTGATGTTTCCATAATAGCTAAAGCCATCTAGTGAGAACTCTAATGTTTCACCCTCATTCAATAGTGCTTCATTTTACTGTCTATTATCCATCTTCATTGGATTCTACTCTCTTAGGGCATACTCCCAACCACTTTGAAATGTTTTCAGTTTAGTAATATTTGTTTTTTTTTTCTTCCTCTGTTGAAATCTTCTACTAGCATTGTGGGTCGAGTTCATATTCATTCTTTCCTTCTATTGTTGTTTTCAAGCTCCATATCCCAACATTTCTCGAAGAGAATATTTAACTTTGTCGATTATCCTAGCATGAAAGCTCTCCAACTATGTTGATCCCAAATTATGAGATTACTAATTTGATAGCCTGTTTTAGCACTTTTTGATTATTTATTTAATTTTTTTTTTGGTGAAAGGTCTCCTTTGAAATTAATTGGGCCTTATTTGATGGCCAATATTTTTTGATAGAAATATTTTTATTTCATTAATAAGTTTCAAAATGTATTACTAAAATTTAAAATGTGGAAGACCACTAAAGTGTTTATGAAACAAATCTGAAAAAATAAAGTCTTTTCATCTGGATCAGTAAATGAACTCTAAACTTCAATTTATTTAATGAATATCTAAGTACATCTATTGGGGTTTCAATTCTAAACCTTAGTTTTTATCTTCTTATATCTCATGATTATTTTTTCTCTAGCCTACGCTTTTAGAGAAAAATCTCGTACGAGTACCTTTTTTGCTACACTAACTAGGCCTTCATTACTAAAGGTCTTATGGAAGTTGTTAATAGCTAGAAATTTCTCAATTATATACATATTTGTTTAAGAAATTACAAATGCATACAAAGGATGGTTTTAAAAAGGTTTCAAAATAGTGTTGTTCTCAACATTAACATTTGGATATAATATCTCTATTTTTAAATGTCTAAAGAAGAGGTTGTTGGTACAACCACTGTTATTGATATCTTATCATCAGTGCAACTACAAAAGTTTAAGTCAAGTGGTATTAAATATTATAGCTTGAGTGCCCTGTTTTATATCACCTGATCAATATCCCCTCATAAAGAGTCAATATTTAGGTCAACATGTCCAATGTCTTTAAAAGAATCCTTTGCATTTCAATGCATGCTATTCTTCAAATGGTTGATTTCGTTTTGGATTCAATTTTCTCATCTTACCTTATAATAATAGTTTGCCTATTTTGTATCAATCATTTGTGACCATTTTTATTCTTGCCATTCTATGAACAACAATTGTTTTACTTAATTAAAAAAAATTCTTTATAGGGACTATTTAACCCATTCTTTTTTTTTTCAAATGAATAATAAGGAAACTATATAATGAACAATTTTTTTTATATTTTTTGACCTTCTAAAATCATAAAAAAATATTTTTTTTATCTTCCTGCATCGAGCAAAAATGCCAGCGTGAATCCCAAAGGAATCAAACGACCAAGAATGAAGACTCCGACATAAGATATTCTAAGCCAAAGAGTGAATATCGACATACCACAGTTGGCTGACCAACCCGAACCGATTGATTGGAGTTCACGATAACCGACATTTTCGGTGACCGGTGGACCCATCTGTCAAGATGATGGGATTGAGTAATCAAAGAATTTTCATTTATTAACTAAATCCCACAGCGAAAGTGATTCGATCGATCGATTTGATTGGTCGATCCAAAGTTTCGGGTGATCGATATATATCACATCTTCTTTGTATTATAATGTATTTATCATTAGAAGGAATTCAATTATTTGGACAATCATGATAAGTGTTCTCTCCTATTAGTAATTGTATTTTGAGGCCCAAATTTATAAATATAGTTAAAATATTTCTTTCTCAGTTCACCCTCTCTCTCTCTCACTCACACAATTCCCATTTCCCCCTACCCGGCCTTCTTCCCATCTCGACCAAAACCATCGCTTTGGTGACCGAGCCCTTTCGCCGGTCGCATTTCCGATTTCCCCTCCCCAGCCCTCTTCTAATTTCGCCCAAAACCATTGCTTTGGTGACCGAACTATCAGTTTAGAGGAATCTGTGGGAAGACAACAACTGGTTCAGCGTAGTTAATTGTGGGAAGGCACGACGAGATGGTCGCAGTGATACAACGTTCTCCTCCTTCCGCTTCTTCTGCTCCACTCCTACCCGAAACCATTGTGGAAGGTAACCCACTTCTCGCCTTTTTTTCTTTTGCAACTTTTTAGTTGTGCCGTGTTGCAGATGGAACTGGATTTTCGATTGTTGAAATCTAGAATAATGAAAGTTGGATGCTTGCAAGGTGTTTGATGATTCGTTTCACTTTGATGTTGAATTGAGTCCAGAAAAATAATTTAAATATTGATAGGTGGCGGTGTGTGTGCGTCTAAAAATATTATTTTCTTTTGTTGGGGATTTACTTTGCATCTGCATGTCATATGAAGTAGCATTTATAGTTTTCTAATAAATAAATCTTTACAGGGCTCATTTTGTTGCTTGCAATTAGAAAGTTTGCTTCTTTTCTAGTTTCAATGAAGCAAGTGTATAATAAGTGAATGTAAATTGATTATTTCTATCATAACTTTCTCTTAGAAGATTTGCATGCATACCACACAATCTCTATGTATTTACGTATGTAACACTAAACTTCAATTTTTACATACATGTCACCTTACCTACTGTATGGCTTGTGATGAGCTTTTCTCATGAGTATATGATTGGAGTTCAATTACAATCCCTTGGTTCACTGATCCATCAGTATTCCTTACTTCAATGAGTTTTATAAATTTTCTGTTGCCATATTGTGCTCGTTGTTGTTCAAGGAGGTGTTTGTGGATTAAGCTCCACCCTTTCTCTCATGGGAATGCTGAAAATTTTAGGGCTGCAAATTGTCAAGGTGTTGGTTAATAGCAATATGGCCCAGAGTTTGCATGCACATAAGCATTTTCCCATTTTATGTCTCCTAGCAATGATGATGAAGTATAAATGAAAATGATGAACAATCAAGTGATCTTTTTGAGGCATTCCTTGTAGAATTTCTCAAAGAAAATTCAAGGTCTGTCAATGATAAGATTCTCTCAAAGAAATTTCATGATTCTTTTTGTACATAACCTAATTCCTTGCTGCAAAAAGAATAAATTGATTCAAAATGAATAAGGGACGAAGAATATTTGATGTATAGGAGGATTAAATTTTAGGAAGATTTACATACATAACACTAAATTCTTATCTATTTACATACCTAATACCTAAACTTCAATTTTTACATACATACCACCATAAATTTGCATGAAAGAATGTATTTCATTTTTAAATGTTAAAATAGTGATATTTTTTATGTGATATGAAAGATTTGGGTGGTATAAATGTAAAAAATTAAAGTTTCAGTGTTAGGTTTCAGTGTTAGAAAAGTTTCAGTGTTAGATATGTAAATGCATAAGAATTGGGTGGCAGGTATGTACATGCTCCTAAATTTTATATGGAATTACTATGAAGGGAAAGCTATTAGCATTTCACTAGTAAGATTTGTGGAAACATTCACTAGAGGCCTCCTAATGGTAAGTTGTGGTTTGTTAGAATCCATGAAGAGTGTCGTGTGGCAAAAAATTTGGAAATCAATAAAAAGAACCTCAAATTTGTCATCTCGAATGAACTGCTCTCGAATTGCTAAAAGATGGTTTGAACAGTATACTTCCCCAACCCTCCTATGACACTTCGTTTCAAATGTCGAGGGAACTGAAGATGGGGAGAGGAAGTGAGGAGTCGGACAACTAAAGAGGGGGAGAGGTAACGAGGAGTCAGACAACTAAAGAGCGGGGAGTTGAAGTGAGATGGTCAGGAAGACAGGGAGGTGAGTTCGCTCTATATATTGTCACAATCGACTTACCTGAATGTCGAGCGGCTCTATTGGACGAAAGGATTGCGACGCCTTGGCCGATCAAAGGAAGAAATGATGAAGAAGCTCTTGTGAAGTGCGAGAGCGGAAGAGGCAAGTGCAGAAGTATCCGCCGAGCGAACATGAAGTAGAAGAAGAAGAAGAAGAAGAGTAGCATCGAGCAAAATTGCTCAAGTTAATTACTGTAGTATGATAAATATGGGGTTTGATAGCAATAAATAACAAGAAGTAGGTACATATATCTCTTAGCAATGCCTTCTTTTTAATTCAAATTTTTATTTTTGCTTAATAGTTTTGCTTTGAACAAAAGAATTATTAAATTTAGTTAGAAATGACAGCAAACCCAAAAAATATTAGAAAAGAACACTTCTTTGTTATTTCTCAACTTTGGAAAGACAACTTTGCAAAAATATTTCAAATCTAAGATTTTTATTTCAGGAAAAGCTTTACTGTACATAGCTGAAGAGCAGTTCTCACTAACTGTTCCAAATTATCCATTAATGATAAAATGCTCAGAAGAGCGACAAATTTAGAGTTTACTTAGGCAGTTGGGTAGTTTAGAATAACTCAAGAAAGTAGTTGTGTTAACCTCCGCTTAAGGTGTTTCAAAGGGAAAAAACACTGCCTCCTGCCAAATAGAGGAAGTTAATTGTTTATAGTTAATAGGGCTGTCAAAACGGCTCGTTAAGAATCTCATGTTCGGCTTGTTCGTTAAGTTAACGAACAAAACATGAACAAAGTTTGTTCGTTCGTGTTCAGCTCGTTTTGACTCGAAAAACTACTCATCAATTGTATATATATATATGTATATATATATATATATATTAAAAAATTTAATTGATTACAAGGCTACAAAGATTTATAATCAATTAAAAGTATTAATTAAGAAAATAGAATAAAAATGATTAATTAGATTAAAATGGTGTTTTAATATAAACAATAATTTTTAAATCTTGCCCCAACCTTTAACATCTTACGGCTACATCTTATGCCTACGTAATTAGGGTTGTCAAAACGATTATTTATTCGTGAACAACTCATGTTCGGCTCGCTCAGCGAAACAGCCGGAACACATTTTTTGAGCTCGAAATATAAACGAGCCGAGCACGAGCTGAGCCTGGTTCGCTTGTGTTTAGCTCGTATAAACCCCTAAATATATATGCATCAGTACCTTACAATCTTTCAAAACTTGAAAAGTTAATAACATTTATGATTGTTATGACATTCAACATGCTATAGGTTAGAATTAAATGTGAAAGTACAATTAAGAAAAAGGGTTGGGCAAATATTTAGAACTGTCTAAAAGATCTGGTCAAAGTACATTTAAAACAAAATTAAATAGAGATCATTTCATAAATATAACAAAAATAGTTTGGATGAGTTTAATTATGTTGATAATTGATAATGATGCTCTAATTTCTTCCAAACATTATACGGCTGCTACTTAACCTAAACCTCTTCTAGTATCACGCCTAACGAGTTCAAAATGCAAGTGAACATTATATTATATATATATATATATATATATATATATATATCAAGAGTGAATAGATGAAAGGATATACCCATTGGAAAGCACCTTCTTGAGTGCCATCAAGAACATAAACCCAATCTGATTTAAACTTTAGTGAGCTCTTTTCATGAAGAAGATCCCTAACCTGCTGTAATTGCCAGTTAAATCGAAGTGAATAGAGAGAAAAAATCCTACAAACGTTTGCTGGCTAGCAAAAAAAAATATGCCATTAGAATTTACAATAAGCCATCATCTTTTGAAAAGAGAAAATCAAACATTTCTCAGATTAATAAAATCAAGACTGGGATTGGGAACAATATAGATGTTTACTACTTGCAAACTTTTCTCAGAAGTTTCAATTCCCAACTATCTCAGACTTGTGGTAGCCTGCACAAATACAAAAATACGGAGTCAATACAAGTTTTCCTGCACAACTATTCTGGGTTTCAGCCTATCATAACAAGAAAAGCATATTCTAGGCAATCATAAGTTATACTTCCCTTTTAGTTCTTCTAGAACTGCACTTTCAGCTTTCTCTAAAAAAGAAATAAAAAATTCTGCAGCCTCTTTGGGGTCCTTAGCATAAGCGCTTAAATCTGGTTTTTTCTAGATGTATTAAGGGAAAAAATAAACTGAGAATAAGATGATAATTTTCAATGTCACAAATTTATTCAAAGCAATTTTTTTAAAAAAATACTCCACATAATGAAATAGTTAAATGAACCAATTGATGCAAGATAGATCAGAGTTTAAGATTATTTCAGCAAAACTTAATGACAATTTTTTTATATAAAATAGTAACTTAATGATAGAGATGGTGCTTCAGAGTCTTCATTATAATGAGCGAAATTTCCCATAAGCTATTTTTTGTCCTTTATAAGTTTATGCCAAAAATCTCATCAACTTCCATTATTATACTAATTAATTTGAGAAAAGTCCATGTTAGCAAATGAAATTTAATGATTGTCAGGATTTGGTGTGTTTTAGTAAAATAATCTCATAATGTTCTACCTCCTTTTATTAAAGATGGAGTCTCAGTCTATTATGATGCATGTTTTTTATTCATATTGTATGATTTATTTTAATTTGAAAATAGCTTGAGTTATGCAAATCTGATGCACTATGTAAAATCTTATTTAAACTAGTAGTTAAATGAAAATTTTTATGTTTAATTTTGATGTGTATATGTTTATTTTGGATAGGTTGCTATGTTTTAAATAATATGAAAACCTTTTCTTTTAATTCAATCCTGTTAAATCCTAGTAAAGCTGCCAAAATACATTTACGCACATTTGATTATTTTTATCTCTTCCACTTGCATTTCAATATTTTAATTGATTCATCTAATTGTCTTCATATCTTATGTATTTGTAGTGATTTTGACGTTTTTTTTAATCTTATAATGGATAAAAGTTGGATGCAAAGACTTAAAGTCTGTTTGAGGCAGTTGCAGCTTATCCAACTTATTCAGATAAGCTGTTGATCCACATAAGCTGCTGATCAGCGGCTGATTCAGATACGCTGGTTGAGCTGTTTGGTTTGTGTGTTTTTAAAATAACTGATTTGCATTTGTTTCTAGATAAATGACTATTCCGCCCCTGATCTGGATAAACTGTTTTAGTGGTCATTTAATTGCATACTTTTCGCATCAAAATAAACACAAAAGAAAACCAAAGAGTGCTTGCGCATTTTTTTATGCACCTGGTGGTCAGGTAATTGCACAATATCAAATTGAGCGAACAAATCCTCGCTACAATTATAAAAGTGCCAAACAGAGCA